GAAAACACACTGCTGCCGTTGTTTAAGGCTCTTTGATAATCATCATAATCATCATAAGTGAAATCCAATCACAGTGATACTGTACCATCACGTGCAAATCGATGAACTCATTCGCATGAACAATGCACAACAATATTTTGCAGCATTCGTTGAGCGTACAATAGGCTGTGTTGACGCGGGCCAATCTGTTCAAGGTCATTCCGGATTATGCAGATGCATTGGCCACCGGCAAAACCTCCCTCCTCCTCCTCCTCCCCCCCGCCGCCGCCGCCGCCGCCGCCGCCGCCGACTTGCACCGCACTCGATTCGATATCTGATGAATGCGAGAGATCGACTCCCTGCTGACACAATAAAAACGAAGCAGCTACGTGATGTGATGAAGCACCAACTCTTGTCCATGCTATATGCATTGAATCCACCGAACTGCTACGGAAGTGAATTCAAACTCAGGCACCTCTTACAGGTGTGTGTGTGTGTGTGTGTGTGTGAGTGAGTAAACGGTGTCCAGAGTTGCCAGTCGTCGCATACACATGACAGATGCGTTATCACGTCAGTCGCACTCAGCTCCAGTCGACCATTATTCTTCTTGTACTTCCGTGTCGTGTACTGTCGCATTATTTGTGTTTTCCGGACGGTAAAGATTGAGCAGTTTTCAAATCAGTCAAGCGTGAATGGTCATCGACCCGAGGTGATGTAGGTGTTGTTGTTATTTAATCCAGGCCGGGGCGGGGGCGGGAGGGGGGGAGTCACCGGATCGTTCTCATCACTTGAGCAATCTGCAGTATCCGAGCTATGTCGTTAGTGTCGCTCACATGAAATGGTTTCCGTCGTTTTATATCAACCGGTGCATTTGTTACCAGCCGGGGATGCAACAACCTCGTGTTTAACCCAATTGTCTAAACCCAGGTACTATTGCATACAAATTTATTTGCACTGTGAAGATATTGTCCCTGGATTGCGTTCAGAATGCAAATTGACAAACAAGCTAGTTTTCGGTCGTTTCTCATTTCTTCCCGAAATTGCACACAGACACACGGCAGAAACACACAGATGTGTCTGTTCACTTCGTTCTCCATTTCCTTGACTTTCATTATTACCTGACACTGCCGGGTTTTTTTTTGCCCAGTGTGTGAACTACCGAGAACGGAAACTTGTTTGTCCCCCCTCAATCACGCACCCAACTTTTGATATCTTGTTCACCTAACCTTGACTGACCTTGACGGACGAAATTTAGGTTCATAGGTTCACTCCACGGAAATATTTGTGATGACAACTGTTTCGTCCTGTTGGGGACTCGTCAGCAGTTTCCCTGTGTCTCAAGACTCGAACTGCGAACGTTGAGTTTGAATTAATACCTCTGAACAATCGAATGGGCTAATCCAAACACGATACTCGGCGTTTTGAGAACGTATCCCATATACTGTCCATTATTGTCCTCGGAAATGAACAACTGCCACACACCTCAAGTGAGAAGGACCTGCGCATCATCATTCAAGAAAACTTAAGCCGCTTGCTCAACTGCGCCAAGGTGTCGAACGCAGCTGTAAAGAATGTCAGTTTGCTTAGGCGGGTCTTTAGCCGGTTTGAGTCAGCGCTTTTCTCCTGTCTGCTATCAGCATACATTCGTCCATTCACAGAGTACGCCATCCAGGCATGGAATCCATGGCTACAACGTGATTACAAAATGCTGAAGCGTTCAACAAAGGATGGCCACCAAAATGGTCATACGCAGAGAGATTGAAGTCGCTGGGGTTATATTCCAATCACTGCCGGCGCATCAGAAGAGATATGATTATGGTATACCAAATAAAGCAAAACCCAAGCTATCCATGTCACCCGCTGCTAAAATTATCACCCAACATTCATCTTAGAGGACAACCGTTCAAACTGATGGTTTCAAAATGCCGATTGAAATGCCGGCGTCAGTCATTCGCCGTCAGAGTATGTTCGATCTGGAACTCGTTCCCCATCAAGCGCTGAATATTTCAAGTAGACTTAATGAAGCATTAGCACGTCTTACATTCCAACATAAGTGAAGTTGCATGCAGCAGTGGAAGAATCCCGTATCATGTGACATTTCGACACAAGGAATTAAATGTATCACCGTCTATTTACTACGATACAAACCAATGGAACGAGAGAAGCATGAGCTTGTAAGTTTTTCCCATAATAAATGTTTGGTTTTTGATCTTTGACCTCGCATGTGTGTGTGCGCGCGCGCGCGCGCTTGAACAAAAGGGTTTTCCTATCACTTTAGAGCTTGGCACTCAGTGCCACTCTGTGGCTTGTGGTTTCGCAACTACGACGGAATTTGTAGCTTGCAGCCTCGTTGTTCTAACATCATTCCAGCGTGTAGTCTTCAGTCAATATTTTCATCATTTCCATTGTTATCAGTTGTTATCAGTTGTTGTGTAACATCGTGGTATGAATAATAGGAAACGTTTGTACTGTAAAAAGTGGTTGGACATTTTGAATCGATTGGGGGAAACCAAATTGGGCAACTAGGTTGTCCGAACCGAGCCAGGATTTACATCGATTAGGTGCACAAAACAGCCATGACTAAAATTTTCTGCATGCCAAATCTAACCGAAATGACCTGTGTTTTGTACTTCAGTGCTCCGAATTGGTATTATCAAATGGTGTATCACGTGATCACAAACGTGAGACTGATGTTTATTTTAATCACTCACGTATACCTCTACTCGACAGTTCATCGATCGATTTGAGAAGCAACTGAAGTGTGTGTGTGTGTGTGTGTGTGTGTG